CTTGCAGCCGCACCCCCCACACAGAGAAATGAGGATCCGCGTGAAAATCCTTGCAGCCGCACCCCCCGCACAGAGAAATGCGGACCCGCGGGAAAATCCTTGCAACCGCACCCCCCGCACAGAGAAATGCGGATCCGCGGGAAAATCCTTGCAACCGCACTCCCCGCACAGAGAAATGCGGACCCGTGGGAAAATCCTTGCAGCCACACCCCCCTCACAAATAAATGTGGATCCGCGTGACAATCCTTGCAACCGCACTCCCCGCACAGAGAAATGCGGATCCGCGGGAAAATCCTTGCAGCCGCACCCCTCGCACAGAGAAATGCGGATCCGCACGAAAAATCCTTGCAGCCGCACCCCCCGCACAGAGAAATGCAGATCCACGGGAAAATCCTTGCAGCCGCACCCCCCACACAGAGAAATGCGGATCCGCGCGAAAATCCTTGCAGCCGCACCCCCCACACAGAGAAATGAGGATCCGTGTGAAAATCCTTGCAGCCGCACCCCCCATACAGAGAAATGCGGATCCGCGCGACAATCCTTGCAGCCGCACCCCCCACACAGAGAAATGAGGATCCGCAGGAAAATCCTTGCAGCCGCACCCCCCGCACAGAGAAATGCGGACCCGTGTGAAAATCCTTGCAGCCGCACCCCCCGCACAGAGAAATGCGGACCCGTGTGAAAATCCTTGCAGCCGCACCCCCCGCACAGAGAAATGCGGACCCGTGTGAAAATCCTTGCAGCCGCACCCCCCGCACACAGAAAAATGCGGACCCGTGTGAAAATCCTTGCAGCCGCACCCCCCGCGCAGAGAAATGCGGACCTGCGTGAAAATCCTTGCAGCCGCACCCCCCACACAGAGAAATGCGGACCTGCGTGAAAATCCTTGCAGCCGCACCCCCCGCACAGAGAAATGCAGATCCGTGGGAAAATCCTTGCAGCCGCACCCCCCGCACAGAGAAATGCGGACCCACCGATTCCTTCGTATCACAGTATTTATTTAAATGGAGAGACTTGGGCAGAGAGTTCTCGGCTGAACAAAGGGATCACATCTCACCGCTCTTCAACTGTGAGCAAGTATCAAAAATTAGGCTACAAACTGCTGACCCGTTGGTAGAAGGTCCCAGTCCTGCTACAGCAAATCTGCCCGGAGGCAACGAATATTTGGAGGAAGAGGGCACGCTCCTCCACGTTTTCTGGTCCTGTAGAAATCTGGCCAACTATTGGTCACAAGTTAGGGTGACTATTAAATGTTTGAAGGACTTTGACCTGGGAGAGGACCAAGCCAGGTCCTACTGCTCCACTCTGATCTCTCGAGAAAACGATGTAAAAACTCTCTACTGGTGCATTTGTTAAGCTCGGGCTTGCCTGCCATCACTCTGGAAACAGGAGAACCCTCCATCTCTTCATGGGGTTGAGTAGAACTGAGGAACATCATTCTATGGAAGGTATCATGGCCGTACTTCGTGGCAAGGAAGAAAGGTTCCGCCATTGGTGGTTCCATTGGTCTCTCTTTACCTGCTTTAGTGAATATGAGTCCATCGTACATTTTGGGCTTTGAGGTTTCCTCCCCCCTCCTCAGTCCCTTAATCTTAAGTAATTAAAGAATGTTTGAAAAATAAAAAGGACCGAAGACCTGATTACACCGTTCTCTGAAACCACCCTCTCTTCAAGGACAAAGCCACCTACCTTCTCCATCCATCCCTGATCTACAAGGAATGACAGGGACTCCCCCCGAACCAAGTCTAATTCTGGAATTTATTTTAGCTGAATCCAAAAAACACATGAAATGAATTTATAAAATAATAACCCCCCACATTGGTAGAGTTCAGCTTATGTCACATATTTCAGCACAAGTGTTCGCTGGGATCGAATAAAAGTCAGCCTGTTCCTTCTGTCTATGAACTGCCAGTAGAGAAGAACATGTCAGGAGAAAAATCCGGGAACAGATGGTCCCCGGCCTACAGACTCGGCAAATTCCCCCAAATCAGATAAAAGGAATTATTCCAGAAACGGTGCCAGGCCAGACAATGTGTGCCGGAATGACGGTGCAGGTGGGACAGACAATGGCGTCCTTCTCCTCCTGACCCAACCAGCGATCTCTCTGCAGAGCCAGAACAATGCCTGCTATGTGCTCCACCAACACGCGGGATCGAGGTACGGCGCTTCAAAGGGGCATTGAGTGCTCTGGGCCATCCAGTCACAGGAGACGGTACCTGAGGTTTCGGTGTTCTACATTTCTGATTCTCATTTTTTATTTAATATATTTTATTATTTGAATTTTGAAATTTAATAACAACCTGTCCTCCAGGCAGAAGGTCAGCCCACTGCAAGATCTTCAGGTTGGGGACCATAGGTGGGGGAGATATCTTCATATGAGTTCCAGGATCTGCCTACCGGATACAACTATTGTATGTGTGTGTGTGTGTGGGGGGGGCTGCTCTCTCCTAGCATGAAATGGACCATATGGTGAGTCAGTTAGACAAAGGCAACCATGAAGCAAGCAGGCAGTCCTACCTTCTGGACACCAAGTGCCATGGAATTGCCATGGGTGAGCGACTATCATCTAAATCTATTGGTCACGTGGGCTTCATGTATCTCTTCCAGATCTGTGCACTAATCCCGTGTGAGTCTCCTGGCAGCCTGTAGTGGGTGGGTCCTGTTGGGCCCCTCCCACAGCTCTGCTCTCTCTCTTTGTGCAGGGTGGCTGGTCTTATCTCCGCCCCCTCCTGTAGTTTTCTGTAGTGGGTGGAGCCTGCTGGGCCCCTCCTACAGCTCTGCTGTCCCTCCTTGTGTAGGGTGACTGATCTTGTGTCCACCTCCTCCTGTAGTGGGTGGAGCCTGCTGTTCTCCAGACTGATCCCAGTACTGTGCCCTCCCGACCCCCTGTACTGTGCCCTCCCGACCCCCCCGTACTGTGCCCTCCCGACTCCCCCCTGTACTGTGCCCTCCCGTACTGTGCCCTCCCCCCCCCCCCCCCCCCCCCCTGTACTGTGCCCTCCTGACTCCCCTGTACTGTGTCCTCCTGACTCCCCTGTACTGTGCCCTCCTGACTCCCCTGTACTGTGCCCTCCTGACCCCCCCCCCCCCTGTACTGTGCCCTCCTGACTCCCCCCTGTACTGTGCCCTCCTGACCCCCCCCTGTACTGTGCCCTCCTGACCCCCCCTGTACTGTGCCCTCCCGACTCCCCCCTGTACTGTGCCCTCCCGACTCCCCCCGTACTGTGCCCTCCCGACTTCCCCCTGTACTGTGCCCTCCCGACCCCTCCTGTACTGTGCCCTCCCGACCCCCCCTGTACTGTGCCCCTCCCGACTCCCCCTGTACTGTGCCCTCCTGTCCCCCCCCCCTGTACTGTGCCCTCCTGACTCCCCCCGTACTGTGTCCTCCTGACCCCCCCCCGTACTGTGCCCTCCTGACTCCCCCCGTACTGTGCCCTCCTGACTCCCCCCGTACTGTGTCCTCCTGACCCCCCTGTACTGTGTCCTCCTGACCCCCCTGTACTGTGCCCTCCTGACCCCCCCCTGTACTGTGCCCTCCTGACCCCCCCCCTGTACTGTGCCCTCCTGACCCCCCCCTGTACTGTGCCCTCCTGACCCCCCCCTGTACTGTGCCCTCCTGACCCCCCCCTTTGTGTTGATTAGTCTTTGAATTATGAAGTGTGTTCTTATTGTTTGACCCCTTCACGCCGGCACCTCCCAGCCCTTTAAGAGTTTCAGAAGCCAGGAGGCGGGACGGGTGGGGCAGAGTTTAGGGATCATGTGACTGCCGTGACGCGTCATCACAGCGGTCACATGATCGGGAAAGAGGAGACTAGGACCTTTCCGTGAGTACCGGACATGCGTGCTGGGAGCGTGTAGGGCGCGCGCTCTCAGCACATATGTTGTTTCTTACCTGAAAGCAAATGTGCGGCCGCTCAGAATCTAGGCCCAGACATCGGGAGACCGAAGATTTTGTGTGCGGCCGGCGTGAAGAGGTTAAAATCAATTATTTTGAAAGTCCTAATAAATATGTTTAATTCCATCAACTATTTATACATTAGTTCTTGAGAGTAGGTGCATAAATTGGGGCAGGCTGGTAGGGGCCCCAGTGCATTACTTTGCTCAGGGGCCCATGATGCTATTAGGGTAGCCCTGCCTCTAGAACGTCAGTATGACGGAGCATTACGGAGAGCAGAGCTAGTGCTAGGCTTTCCTATTAGAATGGACGAGACAGACTGGATGGAAGTTACGTAGTTAGTCTGGCTGAAAAAAGACAAAGTGATAATCCTCCGCCAGTCGGGTATAAGAAGTATCTTCTATTAAATGTTTTCTTTAATAAAGGGATTTTATTGTTGGTTGGGCGCGGAGGACACTGTGAGCCCCCCACAGAAGAGTCTACAGACCGTACAAAGCCGCCACGCACATTATAAAGCCAGTTATTGGGGAGAAGCCAATCCGCCGACCGGAATGTTTCTGAACTTTTACAAAAGACACCAAACAAGGTTGCTGCCTGCTAATTATCGCAGAGCTCGGCGCAATGAATTTTTAATCAGCTCTTTGAATTAAAGTGTAGATTTTATCTGACAGCAAAATGTCAGGCAGCCCTCCCTGCTGTCACCACAGCGAGCTCCAATGCCTCCACTCTGACATATGGCAGCTACCAACACCCTTAAAGGGGACCTCCGGCCTTCCCCACAGTCTTCCACAGTTTTCCAGCTCCTCCCCTTCAGTCTTCCACAGTTTTCCAGCTCCTCCCCTTCAATCTTGCACAGGTGTACCATCTCCTCCCCTTCAGTCTTGCACAGGTGTACCGGCTCCTCCCCTTCAATCTTGCACAGGTGTACCGGCTCCTCCCCTCCAGTCATGCACAGGTGTACCGGCTCCTCCCCTTCAATCTTGCACAGGTGTACAGGCTCCTCCCTCCAGTCTTGCACAGGTGTACTGGCTCCTCCCCTTCAATCTTGCACAGGTGTACGGCTCCTCCCTTCAGTCTTTCACAGCTGTACCAGCTCCTCCCCTCCAGTCTTGCACAGGTGTACCGGCTCCTCCCCTTCAGTCTAGCACAGGTGTACCGGCTCCTCCCCTTCAGTCTTGCACAGGTGTACTGGCTCCTCAACTTCAGTCTAGCACAGGTGTACCGGCTCCTCCCCTTCAGTCTTGCACAGGTGTACCGGCTCCTCCCCTCCAGTTCTGCACAGGTGTACCGGCTCCTCCCCTCCAGTTCTGCACAGGTGTACCAGCTCCTCCCCTTCAGTCTTGCACAGGTGTACCGGCCCCTCCCCTTCAGTCTTGCACAGGTGTACCAGCTCCTCCCCTTCAGTCTTGCACAGGTGTACCGGCTCCTCCCCTCCAGTCATGCACAGGTGTACCGAGTCCTCCCCTTCAATCTTGCACAGGTGTACAGGCTCCTCCCCTCCAGTCTTGCACAGGTGTACTGGCTCCTCCCCTTCAATCTTGCACAGGTGTACGGCTCCTCCCTTCAGTCTTTCACAGCTGTACCAGCTCCTCCCCTCCAGTCTTGCACAGGTGTACCGGCTCCTCCCCTTCAGTCTTGCACAGGTTTACCAGCTACTCCCCTTCAGTCTTGCACAGGTGTACCGGCTCCTCCCCTTCAGTCTTGCACAGGTGTACCGGCTCCTCCCCTTCAGTCTTGCACAGGTGTACCGGCTCCTCCCCTCCAGTCTTGCACAGGTGTACCGGCTCCTCCCCTTCAGTCTTGCACAGGTGTACCGGCTCCTCCCCTGGACTGGAATGTCTTCCTCTGATGTCAATGCACACTGGGAGCTTCTCACAATGTGCATTAGATGCTGCAGCCAGTCAGATAGAGCTCCGCCTCCTTTCCTGGCTGGAGGACATCCAGCATCATCTATCCATTTCCCCCCCAACCAGCCTAGCTGTCCCTAGCCCTGCCCCCTTTCATTCATTGAATTCCAGTGCTTTCCATCATGGTGGCTCAGGCATCGCATGTGGGTGTTACCTATGCAAATACAACCTGTTTAGGAATGGCCACGCCTCCAAACTGGTAACCAGCCATCAAAGCATTTTGATTTTTGCATAACCCCTCCTCCTTTTTATATTAAACATTGTTAAGATTATTTCAAGGGTAACTCCAAGAAAAAAATGAGCAAATAATAAAAAATGAATATAGCAAATACAGTGTCTACACAAGTCTTATTATAATTGATTATTAAAAATTCCCTTTCCTTCTCAATGTGCAGCCGCTGTCATTTTCTGTAAAATGCAATATGGCCGCCTGGAGGCGCTCTGTACACAGATGGTATAAGGACCGCGCCCAGAAATGTCATTTACTGCCTCTGTGACTTTCCCAGAAGTCTGCACTAAGATACAAGTCAGATTTTGGCATCCCCTGCAACAAAAATGTCATATTTGGTGAGATACTCCCAAAGGAAAATCCCATCTGAAGGGATGCAGACCCTGCCACTTTCCTCATTAGGACCCTGCAGGTGCAGCAGCTGATTGATCGTTATATAGTCGCTCCCATTCACATTCCCTCTGCGCAGGACACAGAGAAACAAACAGAGATTTCTTCACAATAACAAAAGGAAGAGATCTGCAACAAAGTTTGTTACAATCCCTGAGATGTACAGAGATCACCCAGAGGGGGCGGGGGGAGGGGTGTTTTTCTTAACCACTTCCCGACCGGCCCTTGTATATAAACGGCTGGAGGGTGGCAGTGCAGGGGCGGGTGGACGTTTATAAATGGCCTCCCCACACCCTGCTTGTGCACGCTCCCTGGGAGCGCACAGCACCGTGATCCAGTGCCCGCTGTGTCCTCCGGACACAGTGAAACACCGATCATGTGCGAGGTCCCGATCATGTGATCACTGACTGGACAATCAGTGATCACATGCAAAGTAGTAATCAAGATGTCACTTGTGACATCATTGCTTACTACGTGTGAAATCTGTGAATGATCACAGAGATCACATGGTACAGGGCCATTCACAACAGCCTTGTACCATGTGACAAGCTGTGACCAATCACAGCTCACACAGTATTTCTCAGTGGCTGCAAGAATGCAGCCAGAGAGAAGGAGATATGATTGCTTTTACATCCTATATGGGTGTAAAAGCAATCAGTGTAAAAAAAAAAAAATCATCACCCCCCACAAGTAGTACAGCGTCACCATGGTGACACCGCAATGCTAGGGTGACAGTATGCAAAAAAAAATAATAATAATATAAAAAAAAAATAAAAATGTAAAAAAAAAATGTTTAAAAAATTATAATTTTTGGCTATAAACTAATTTGTTTTTTGTTTTTTTACTAAAAAGGTAACGGAATAAATTTTGGCCAAGATTTATGATGAAATATAATTTATTTGCAAAATTTTATTTAAAAAAACACTTTTTTTTCAAAATTTGTGGACTTTTTTATTTACATAGCAAAAAAAAATAAAAATCCCAATAAATACCACCAAAATAAAGCTTTATCTGTCTCAAAAAATGGTAAAAAATTCATATGGGTACAGTGTTGCATGACCCGCGCAATTGTCATTCAAAGTGTGATAGCGCTGAAAGCTGAAAATTGGCCTGGGGGGGGGGGGGGAAAGTGTCCGGACTGGAAGGGGGGGAAAGTGTCCGGACTGGAAGGGGGTGAAGGTGTCCGGACTGGAAGGGGGTGAAAGTGTCCGGACTGGAAGGGGGGGAAAAGTGTCCGGACTGGAAGGGGGTGAAGGTGTCCGGACTGGAAGGGGGTGAAAGTGTCCGGACAGGAAGGGGGAAAAGTGTCCGGACTGGAAGGGGGGAAAAGTGTCCGGACTGGAAGGGGGTGAAAGTGTCCGGACTGGAAGGGGGTGAAAGTGTCCGGACGGGAAGGGGGTGAAAGTGTCCGGACTGGAAGGGGGGGAAAGTGTCCGGACTGGAAGGGGGGGAAAGTGTCCGCCTGGAAGGGGGGGAAAGTGTCCGGACTGGAAGGGGGAAGAGGGTCCGGACTGGAAGGGGGGGAAAGTGTCCGGACTGGAAGGGGGGGAAAGTGTCCGGACTGGAAGGGGGGAAAGTGTCCGGACTGGAAGGGGGGGAAAGTGTCCGGACTGGAAGGGGGGAAAGTGTCCGGACTGGAAGGGGGGGGGGGAAAGTGTCCGGACTGGAAGGGGGTGAAGGTGTCCGGACTGGAAGGGGGGGAAAGTGTCCGGAGTGGAAGGGGGGGGAAAGTGTCCGGACTGGAAGGGGGTGAAGGTGTCCGGACTGGAAGGGGGGGGAAAGTGTCCGGACTGGAAGGGGGGGGAAAGTGTCCGGACTGGAAGGGGGGGAAAGTGTCCGGACTGGAAGGGGGTGAAAGTGTCCGGACTGGAAGGGGGGTGAAAGTGTCCGGACTGGAAAGGGGGTGAAGGGGGTGTCCGGACTGGAAGGGGGTGAAGGTGTCCGGACTGGAAGGGGGTGAAGGTGTCCGGACTGGAAAGGGGGTGAAAGTGTCCGGACAGGAAGGGGGGAAAAGTGTCCGGACAGGAAGGGGGGAAAAGTGTCCGGACAGGAAGGGGGGGGAAAAGTGTCCGGACAGGAAGGGGGGAAAAGTGTCCGGACTGGAAGGGGGGGAAAGTGTCCGGACTGGAAGGGGGTGAAAGTGTCCGGACGGGAAGGGGGTGAAAGTGTCCGGACTGGAAGGGGGGAAAGTGTCCGGACTGGAAGGGGGTGAAAGTGTCCGGACTGTAAGGGGGGGAAAGTGTCCGGACTGGAAGGGGGGGAAAGTGTCCGGACTGGAAGGGGGGGAAAGTGTCCGGACTGGAAGGGGGGTGAAAGTGTCCGGACTGGAAGGGGGAGAAAGTGTCCGGACTGGAAGGGGGGTGAAGGTGTCCGGACTGGAAGGGGGTGAAGGTGTCCGGACTGGAAGGGGGGGTGAAGGTGTCCGGACTTGGAGGCGGGGGAAAGTGTCCGGAGTGGAAGGGGGGGAAAGTGTCCGGACTGGAAGGGGGTGAAGGTGTCCGGACTGGAAGGGGGGAAAGTGTCCGGACTGGAAGTGGGAGGGGGGGGGGGGGAAAGTGTCCGGACTGGAAGGGGGGGGAAAGTGTCCGGACTGGAAGGGGGGGAAAGTGTCCGGACTGGAAGGGGGTGAAAGTGTCCGGACTGGAAACGGGGGGAAAGTGTCCGGACTGGAAGGGGGGGTGAAAATGTCCGGACTGGAAGGGGGGGAAAGTGTCCGGACTGGAAGGGGGTGAAAGTGTCCGGACTGGAAGGGGGGGGGAAAGTGTCCGGACTGGAAGGGGGGGAAAGTGTCCGGACTGGAAGGGGGGGAAAGTGTCCTGTCTTGAAGGGGGGGGGGGGGGGGTAAAAGTGTCCAGTCTGGAAGGGGGGGAAGTGTCCGGTCTGGAAGGGGGGGTAAAAGTGTCCGGTCTGGAAGGGGTTAACAAGTGGAGTTACTCCCCCGAGCGATTTCAGACTGCGATCACCTGCAGCCTTTGAAGGGTTAAGTGACACCTGTCGCCGGTACCTGAGAGCACTGCACACCCCCCATCTCAGTGTCCTAATATGCCTCTGGCACTCTCCCACCAACTGCTCCCCCCCCCCCCACACACACCGCTGTCTCCCGTCTGTCCAGGCCGTTGCTGTAGCAACATTGTCCTCGCCAAAAAGAAGCGGGTAGCTGATGCGTCTTAAAAGCCTGTTATCAGCCAGCGCCATCTGTGCCGGCCTCTCCCCGGATCGCTCCGGCGTCTTCTGTAGCCTGTAGATGCGCCTCGTTCGTCTAAAATCACCTCCCGTGAACGAGAAAATATCATTTACAAACTACGAAGTATTTATTTTTTGGCACCATAAGCTTTGTTTTGTGCTTGCTGGACGGAGATTTGTGATCGAAAAACGCAGATTTGCAGGAGCTCCTTCTAGTGGCTGATCGGGGCATCAGGCAGTTTAGTCACCATCAGGGGCGAACTGACCATTTGGAAACTCGGGCACTGCCTGAGGGCCCGGGGTCAGTAGGGGGCCCCATGAGATGCCCCTGGTACCTTTTTCATAGGAGTTTGGGCAAGGACACAGGGGCCCCATGATCCCCCATTGCCCAGGGGCCCCATGAGTTGTCAGTCCGCCCCTGGTCACCATCCTTAGTGCCAGGAATAGCCTGCGGTGCTAAGAGGGCATCTAAGGCCATTTCTAGTTATAGTACCTCCAGGTCCACCTGGACTTCTGCCAGGACTTCCACAGTCCCTACCAGTACTTAAATGCTGCGCGTAGAATCTCTGCCATTACTTCAAATGGTGCTCGCAGAATCACTGCCAGGACTTCTAGATTTATTTACAACAACATTGGGCATGTCCCCTGACTGAGCATTGCCCTGAAAATGACTGATACTGTGTCCTCTCATCAGCTACTGTGCTGGCCCAGATTGTCCTGGCAATTCGCCTGCTGTCTTGCCTGTTGCTGGCCCAGATTGTCCTGGCAATTCGCCTGCTGTCTTGCCTGTTGCTGACCCAGATTGTCCTGGGAATTCGCCTGCTGTCTTGCCTGTTGCTGGCCCAGATTGTCCTGGCAATTCGCCTGCTGTCTTGCCTGTTGCTGGCCCAGATTGTCCTGGCAATTCGCCTGCTGTCTTGCCTGTTGCTGACCCAGATTGCTCTGACCACTCTTCTGTCTTGCCCACTGCAAATCCAGCTTGTTCTGACCACTCTCCTGCCTGCCACCTGCCCATGGGCTCTGGCTGAACGTTATTCTCACTCTGTCTTACCTGTTGCCTCCCCAGATAGTTCTAATCACTCTTCTTTTGCCT